CCAGAGCACTGTAGAGAAGTGTCGAGACCCTGGGTACAAAAGGTCAGGGGTCGATATGACTTAAAGGAGTAAGTGTTGGAGTACAAAAGAGTAGAGAGAAAGTTAGAGAACTTTAGTGAGTTTTTATGGTGAGAACTTGGGCTTGGCATGTAGATGGACTAGGTGCTTTATTGTGATTGATATCTCGTTTACTGAATTTATTATAAGCATGTTATCTTGACGAGAATGATGTATGTTGTGTAAGCATGTTGTTTGTGTATGACCCTTCAGGTAAGGGTTGCTTATTGAGTACCGTGGTTGTACTCACCCCCTATTTTTCTCTCCAGATTCTGGAGGCAATGAAGTATCACGTAAGCATGGTGACGGTGTGAAGGAGGCTTCACTGGAAAGACCGTTTAATTGTGTAGTTTAGTTTTCATTTATCGTTTTGGATAGGATAGTTGTATTTGATTTTGCTTTGTGTTGGGTTCATCCCATGCGTTAATAGGTTGGTATGTTTAGTTTTTGATTAAAGTTTGTATTAATTCTCGGAAGTCATTGTTAGATGATTCTCTGTTCAAACTAAAAGTCATTCTAGTTTGTTGAATCATTATTCTTTGACAGCTTAAGTGTTATTAGCGTTTGAGTTATGGGTTGAGCTAGTCGAAATTACTAGTCATTATTTCGTTATCGGTTCGGCATAATAAGTAGTTTTTCTCTTGTATGGGCGAAACTTTACCGAAGGTTAACTGCTTAGGCATAGAGAAGTGCAATGGAAGCATGGTGGATATTTATCCTTGTCTTGTGTTGCTAGTGGTTTCGTTCTCTAGTATGAGTGGAACTTTTTAGGTGGTTGCAATAACGGTCCTCATTTGGGATGTTGAAAATCCTAAGGCATTACAATCTAATTTCTAAACACATAAAGGAAGCTAAGAATAAAAAAGAGTGGTTACTAACCTAAAGCGAATAAATCTTAATAATTGCAAGGGAAACATCAACTTGAGAGCGATTGAGATCAAATTTGCTCTCCTGAAAAGAGGGGGCTCAAAATTGAGATCAAAATTGCGCCAACACTACCTGAGTTTTCCCACACCTGAGATTGCGCGCAACAATCCTCCAGAGCGGTTGTTGGCAAAACCAGACGATTGGAACATGCTGTGCGATAGATGGGAGATAGATGAGTGGAAGGTAATTTACGAATATCACTTATACTTTTTTTTAGAATTTATATTTAATATATATTCTCATTTAAGTTTTCTTTTGTTAGCAAAAATTTGAGACCAACAAACGCAACAGGGCGAAGATGCCATTCAACCACCGTGCGGGGCCGAAAGCGTTTGCTATTATTTCAAAGGAGAAGGTACAATGCAATAATATTTTTTTAGCCATATACTTATATTACTTAAGATCGATTATCAACAATTATGTGTTATCAATTGTAGAAAGACGAAGAGGGAGGTGACAACTTTACTGTAATCGATTTGTTCAGGGAGACGAGATATTCTGACACTAAAGGTTGGGTCGAAGGAGCGGAGACAGCTTACGTAAGTTTTACAAATCTTATAACAATTAACTTCAAATTATGCATCGAATTTTATGTGTAAACATTTTGTTCTTTTTAAAATATGTATGCAGCTCTACATGATGCGTGTTAGAGAAGCATCTATGGAAGACGGAGGTGAACCGATACTAGACTCAGAAGTATTGGAGACAGTTCTTGGTTATCGTTCAAGATACGTTAAGGGTGCTGGTTGGAGCCCAAAACCAAAGTCTCGTAGAGGTTCTTCTTCAAGTGTAGCATCAACACAGCAGGAAGAAGAGCTGTCACAAGAAATATGTACTCTAAGAGAAGAATTTCAGGATCGTCTCATGCAGAAAGACAAGGAGTTAGATGAGCGTCTCGCAGCCAAAGATTCTGAGATTACGAGTCTACGCAGTGAAATGACAGATTTGAGATCAATGGTGCTACAACTTATGAGTCAGTCTAGTGAAGCCAGCTCGTCAAAATAGGTACGTCCATGTAGAGTGTTGTTAGGATTCAGTAACCGTAAATGTGGCTATCCTGCAGTTATGGTAGCAATTTAGAACGTGTATTATGAATGATTTAACTATGTTTATGTTTGAGTGCATGTTTGAAGTGTTTTAGATATTAATAGCAAGTGAATTTTCTGTGAAGTGAATCTTTGAAGTGAATTGGTACGTCAAGTATAGTGTTGTTAGAATTCAATAACTGTAAATGTGGCTATCCTGCAGTTCTGGTAGCCATTTAGAACATATGTCATGTATAGTTTAGCTACGCTTATTATGTATAATGTGGTTTTGGATGATTTTGTTGAATCTGTGAAATGAATT